AGTTGGAAAATCAAAATGTCATTGTCAAACTTCATGGCTAATGGGATGCATCTTACAATGAACTTCCAAGCTAGTTTAGGCTAGTGCAAAGGTTGAATCATGGGATAATTGTGGACTTCGAAACCTCCTATGTATACCATAATGATCGAGTTATGTTTATCACCCTAGATTAGTTGCAGATTTACAAAAAAAATTACGGCATCAAATTGAATGTCTGTAACAAGCTTCTCTAGAAGGCATGAAATGTTTCGTATCACAGAGTTGTCGTGACCTCTTTAAGGGATTGAAGCTGTGTCGTTAAGAGTAAATCTACGGGATAGAACGTGCGACTGCGGGTTTTTTCAAACTCTGAAGTATCCATGCTCTCATGTGATAGCAGCTTGCTCGCATACACGTCAAACTATAACTGTTTTGTGGATCCCGTATACCTACTATCTGAAGTTTTTAAGGTATACGAATTTGAGTTCCCTCATAGGTAATGACAAAGACCCTGATGAGGTTCAGGATTGGATTCTGATTTTACCAAATCCAACTTTATTGAGGGAGCGTGGTCGTCCAAAATCTAATCGAATTCATTGTGATATGGATATTCGAGAAAGATCTAGACAAGATAGAAGATGTGGGCATTGTAGAAACCTAGGACACACTAGAAAAACATGTTCACTTTTGTTGTCATCAAGTAACAATTGATTAGGAACTGATGTAGTTGTTTATCAAATAAGAATTCTTGTACTTTAATTTGAATTTACTTCAAGTTAATGTCATTCGATAACCGCTGATGAATATTAAAAAACGATACAAGAATATGAGATTGGACTTTGGCGTTATATGTGATTATAACAATTTGGTATTTGAATATAATTTTAAATACAACAAACTTACAATAAGTATTAAATGGTAAATGATAAACAAATTACAATAATTGATATTAAATGGTAATAAACAAAATTAACCAAAATACATTAACAAAAAGTCCAACAAATTTAACAAAATAAATCCAACCAAATTAATGAAATAAAGTAAGTATTAAATGATAAATAATAAAAAAAGTACAATAAAAAAGTCCAATAAACAACTAAATACAAATATAAAAAAAAATCTATCGATGCTTGCGACGCGAATGTGTTCCGCAGGGCGGTGGCTGTCGGTCTCGAGAAGGATTTCTTCGTATCACTAGTTATGACTCCTCGCTGTCATCATCATCACCATCGTTGTCGTCGTTGTCGTGAGCAGCTACACTAGGTTGATGAGGAGCTGATGACGATGAAGCACCTCCATAGAATAAGGACCCTGGAGGTGTATGTCTAACTATCCCACCGGCCTGCGAAAATTGAGAAAACTCCCAAACATCCCTGAGTGTGAAAACTGTACAGGAGGCGTCTGTGCTGCGGCCATGGGTGATGAGGTTGAACCCGCCAAAATATGGGTATATGAACCCCAAGTTAGATCTACAAACATAGACCCATAATATCCTCCAAGAGGGGTCATAAAACTCTGTGACGGTGGCGGCGACGGGGTCATAAAACCAGGTGACGGCGGCGGCGGCATCGGGTAAGGGAATGACGATGGCAGCATCACATATGGCTATGGTATGTAAGTTGCTGTAGACGGTGGCTACTGTAAAGGTCCTGCTGGTACAATTGAGGATGAACCGAAAGCACCTGCTTTACGTCCACGAGTTGGGGGATGATGGTGTTGTGTCAGTGAATGTCTCTATCGACGTCGCTGAAAGGTCTACCCTCGTGCATCATTGGAAAGTAGAAACAGTTTCCCGTTATTGTTGAACCACTCATAATAACCGTCAGCAGCCATCAAGAGGTCAGTAAAAAAGGGCTCTCTACGGGGAAGACGCCGATGTCGATCATCCCATAACACGACCCACTTATGATGCCTCACCAGCCAATTTGTATCGGTCTTGCCGCGTCTATCTGTGCTATGCAACTCGTACATATTGTGAGGTGCTTCCGGAATTGGTTGAAAATAACCAAATTGCCGGAGCACGCGATCAGTGGAGTGCCACTCGACGATTGCATAACAGATCAAAGGGACCATCGCCATCCAAACATATGATGAGCCCCTCAACTCAGGTGGGATCACCATCCTCACATCATCATTAGAATATGTCACTCATTCAAACTAAAACAAATATATATAATTTTTATCAAAATAATAATCTAATTATAAAACTATAATCTAAAATTGATTTTTAAACATTAAAATGCATACATGTGTGCCAACCTTCTGATATATTAGCACCTTAATTTTTTTTCTAAATCATTAGGTAGCTCCTGATGATTTTTCCTATCAGTAGACCACCTATTCAAGGAAAAAAATTTATTATACACTGTATAAAATGATTAATATACGAAATCAGTTTTATAATTACCTCAATAGTAGCGGAAATACGAATGAGTTCTTGACAACGAGACATAAAAAGGGCAATATATACCATACCCAAGACTGCAGCAGCAGGAGACATCCGCCGATAGTATTTTTCCTGTAGTCAATGGCTCAACACATCTTCGTGTACAGGAAAGCCAAAACTGCTGAGCCCCAACTAAGTGATCTGACCAGATAAAAGTAGCCAAGATGTCTCAACCACATACAGTGAACTTGGTTGCGCAATTTGTCTAACATCAGCAACCCTCCTATCAACTGCAATATGCATGCCCATGCATACATTTTAACTTCATCATCAGAGGCGTCCTCGCTCAACTCCTGAAAATTGGCATCTAACCAATTTAACGGTATCTGACCACCGTTAAAACTTTTCGGGACACGTCCTAGATACTCCCGGCACAAAGCAGTCCATGAACCGTGCGTCATCCCCGATATCACATATCCATCCACCGGAAGCTCCAGGTGCATAGAAACATTCTCAAGTGTAATCGTGCACTCTCCGCATGGAAGATGAAATGCGTGGGTCTCCGGCCTCCACCGCTTCACTAAGGCAGCAATAAGGTCTGGTTCTATCTTACAGTGACCCTCATATTTACCTATGTGACCGAATCCAGCCTCTACTAAATACGGCAAGACACGGCTAGGTATCACTAACTTAAGGTTCCTAATAAAAGGATCTAATACACGATACTCTCCTAAAAACAAATAATTACAAAAATTAATTTTTAAACTAATAATCATACATTAAATAAATAAAGAAATTATTACTAATAATTTAAATTAAATTAAAACATTAAAATGTTACCGTATCAGCAAAATGTCGCGATATATGATTTTCATCCAAGCAAAGTAGACCGCCTTCCATTTTATATCTGCAAAAATAATTAAATAAATAAAATATTAAAAAATTTAAATACTTAAATAAATTAAAAACAAAATATTAAATATAATAAAATATACCTTAAACAGTTATAAGAGAATATAAGAGTATTTGAGAGAAGTTAAGAGGATTTGATGTGATAAAAGTGATTGAGAATGGAGATATTTATAGGGAGGGGGTGGGGGTGTGAACGACTGAGGTAGGTGGGTAATTAAACCTAAGGCGCGCCGTAAGGGGCGCGCCTTTCTGACGCGTGTCAGATTTAAAGGTAAAGCGCGACCCCTGCCCCGCGCTATACGCCTACGTGGCGCCAGATCAACGTAAAGCACATTGTAGGGGGCGCGCTTTACTGCAAATGGTATTAGATCGAGAAAATAGTCTGAAGGGTGTCTGACAGGGAAATATATAGGGTATATGTGATATTTCGGGAAAAACGCCCAATCATTGTTCATTTCAAAAATAAGAAATAAATAAAAGATTTTTTTTAGAAATACTTCTACTTGTTTCATATTCTATTTGCTTGCATGCTTCTCTGATTGAGGAGGCCGACGAACAAACCTGTAAAAGAAAATAAGAAAAGTGAGAGAGAGAAAGCACTAAGAAAGAGCATTTTATTTTTGACTTACGGTTGGAGAGCTCTGTTGTCAAATTTGAATGGTAAGAAGGGAGGGAAGATTAGTCAGAAAAACATACTTGAAATTCGAGGTGATCCAATGGTGGATAGCGGTGAATTAGAGAAGTGAGATTTGAACATTTTTTTGGCTATTTCGTTATAGTCAAACCATTTTTTGACAAATTGATGTTCAGATTTGGACTTTGGAGACCGAGGTGCAACTCTCGATGAATGTTGGTTGTCTTTGGTTACCATAGATGATGGTCAGTGGCTGAACGATAACTACTTATGACGAATGCCGATCAACTTGAATCTTTTGGGAAAATTGTAGGGATTTCACTTATGATTTCCCCAAAAATCTTTAGAAAAACACGGATCCAAGCTCGACGTGGGTTGGACGCGTGGATTAGGTCATAAAAATGGCATAGTATGTATAAGGGTATAAAAACCCTTTTTTTTTTTTTACTTTTTCCTTCATTTTTGCTTCTTACAGTTTTTTTCTCTCTCAAAATTCTCTCTGCTTCTCTCTAAAAAACTGAACTCTACTCGGATAAAATATCAAATATGAACTCTACTTAGAAAATTTTACGGGAACAAACGAGTAACATTCTAAATTTGAGAACCGTACAGGTCTACTAAATGAGAGGGGATGGATCTAGTCGATACTTGATCAAATAAAACATGAGTACATTAATAAAATATAATCTTAGATCAATTTAATATCTTAAATATAATTAACATATTAAAATATTGAAGTTATATATATATATATTCTAGTTAATGAACTTAATTCAAAGTTTTTAGGTTTAAATTTGGCAAAACGCACTGCAACAACATACTTGAAACCATAAAAAATATTAGGGTAGAGGTTAATGAAAAAAGTTAATGTCGATTAAAGTCAAGGTCAATAGTCAACGATTAATGAGTTAACGGGCAACATATCGGCTCGATTAACGGCTAGACTTGGTCAATAATTTGGCTGGCTTGGCTAGGGTCAAACTAGATTGGTTCAGTTCAGGTCAAACTAGAATGATTCAATTTGGGTCATAATGAACTGTTTTGGTTCAAGCCTAGCAAATTGGGTATAATATAAATGGGACAGAAAGGTCAGCCCAATAAACAACCTGGTTCAAGGCCTAACAGAGGCGGGCAAGGGTCAGGATACAAGTATGAGTTTTTCATTGCTTCTGATTTTGTTCCATAGGAAGGCTTTTCATCACCTTTTCCATACCTAGGCTTTTGGTCTGGCTTTGCTTGCTTGTAGTTATCTGGTTTTGGTTTTACAACATATGAGTTTCTGTTGTAACCAGATTTTTCTTTCTCTTCTGGTTTTGGCTTGTAGGTGTCTTGATTTGTGCCATAATTAGGCTTCTCTTCTCCTTCTGGTTTTAGCTTGTAGGTGTCTTGATTTGTGCCAAAAGTAGGCTTCTCTTCTCCTTCTGGTTTTGGCTTGTAGGTGTCTTGATTTGTGCCATAATTAGGCTTCTCTTCTCCTTCTGGTTTTGGCTTGTAGGTGTCTTGATTTGTGCCATAAGTAGGCTTCTTTTCTCCTCCTGGTTTTGGCTTGTAGGTGTCTTGATTTGTGCCATAAGTAGACTTCTTTTCTCCTTCTAGTTTTGGCTTGTAGGTGTCTTGATTTGTGCCATAAGTAGGTTTTTTTTCTCCTTATGGCTTTGCTCTAGGGCTGTTTGTCGGTATTCCATCAAAACCATACTTTGATGAATCATCAGCATGACCAGGCTTCTCTTTGAATACCGGTTTGTGCTGGTAGGAATCTGGTTTGGCACCGTATTGAGGCTTTTGAGCTTCTTCTGGCTTTGCCTGAGGACTGTCAGCCGGTATTCCGTCAAAACCATACTTAGCTGAAGCAGCATCACCATAATCGCCTGCCGAAGCAATTGCTATAAATGACAGTACAAGTAAGGAGAATGCCAAGGAGAGACGTGAGAGAGCCATTTCAATGTAACGATTATTAAGGGAACAAAGAAAGAAAGAAAAGTGGATGAAGGATAGGGGCTGACACCGTTGCTATTTATAGGGAAATCAGAAAACAATGAACATAATGATTATTGATTAAGATTATAGTTTTAAGATACCAACACATAATAATAATTATAGTTTACAAATAAAATAAACTATTTTAAAAAGTTGGATGCACGATCCAAACGTTATTTGTCGACTTGGGTGCCACCATGTAAACAATATTATTTTAAGTATTGTAATTACCTAAATAATCCAAATATAATGTACATGGACACCTCTTCATGCCATTATTATAATCATCACCAACTTTTTTTTTTAAAAATAATCTAAAACCATATCAAAAATTAATAAACCCAAAATAAATGTGTTTAAGTTTATATTGTTTGTGGTAAAATTATATATTTTACAAGTATTTTTATGATTTTTATTACAAATACTATTAAGATTATATTACACAAAGTTATATGAGAACTTACTTTTTATACTATTAAAAAAACTTATTTTTTATATATTACTTTTACATAATAAATAAGGAAAAATTCTTGAATGGATGTCAAACATCCTTATTACCACTATTTTTATAAAGTAAATTTCATAAATAAACATTAAATTATATCAATATGATCTTTTTTATACCAAACTTTCAAAAGTTATATAATATACATCAAACTTTAAATTTTTTTACAAATTGGGCACGACGCCGTTATCTATCATTAAAGAAGTGATATGTGTCACGTTAAATTAATAGAAAATATCTCATTTAACCCTTTAATTGTAACTAAAATTTCATTATTAAAATAATTTTTATTATGTTCATTGAATTGAAAACAAAATGAATATAAATAAATTAAATATTTACTGAACCAGTGTACATGATCATCAAATCAACAAACCCCTCAACAAAATAAACCAACTAAAAATTTCTCACTGTCAAAGAACTATAACTTTGAAAGATTAGAATAACATATCTTTTGATATTTAATGAACTCATGTTTTCTAATTTGCTTCAATTGTAAGTTTAAAATAAAAGGCATATTTTGTTTTTCAACAAATTTTTCACATTTAAAAAATAAAAGAGGAAACAAATATTTTCAAACAAGATAATCTCTTGGGAATGAAAACATATCTTGGAATGCAACAAGAATATCTTCGATTTAGAACTCAAAATCAGAAATTTGGGCATAAAGACCAATTTAAATTAATATGTTTACTTTTTATATTTATAAATTGTAATCTATAAATATATTCAAAAGTTTTATTAAATTAATAACTTGTGATTGATAAAGTTAATAAAAACAACTATTCACAATTTAAAACAAATTATGAGTTATGATTGTTAGATTAATAAATTTAATTATGATATGTATGTATGATATATATACCATATATGTATGTATGATGTGTATAATTTATTAATGCATGCTTATATGTGTATAATTTATTAATGCATGATTATACGTGTATAATTTATTAATATATGCAGCATGTATGTTTGATCGAATGTATAATAAGCATGTATGTATAATTTATTAATGCATGTCTCATGTATGTATTAATCTATGATATGTATGTACGTATGTATGTATGTATTTATGTATGTATGTATAATTTATTATTTATTAACGCATGTATCATGTATTTATTAGTCCTTTAAAATTATATTTTTATTCAAAATCGGCTCATATTCATAATCTCCAAACCCTATAAACTTTTGTACACCAAATTTTCAAATGAATGCAATTTAATACATTTGATATTTATTTCAACTTCACATTTTATAATAGTTTCAATTTGATTCATAGGTTTTGTCTAATTTATTTCAATTTTAGTTTGTAATTTTATGTATGTATGTATAATTTATTATTTATTAATGCATGTATCATGTATTTATTAGTCCTTAAAATTATTTTTTATTCGAAATTGGCCTATAGTTTTTTCTATTTTTTGTAATTTACTCTAAACCCTATAAATCATATCATAAACTTCATTCAAACCATATAAATTATATCATAATTTCCAAACCCCATAAACTTTTTTCACCAACTTTTCAAATGAATGCGATTTAGTCCATTCTGATATTAATTTCAACTTAACATTTTACAATTGTTTCAATTTGACTCATGTGTGTTGTTTAGTTTATTTAAATTTCAGTTTGTAATTTCATTTTTTCCAATTAAATACTAAAAATTATATTTTTATCTGAAATTAACACATAATTATTTCTATTTTTTTTAATTTACTCCAAACCCTATAAATCACATCATAAACTTTATTTCAAACCATATAAATCACATCATAAACTTTATTTCAAGCCCTATAAATTATATCATAATCTCCAAATACTATAATTTTCTGTTCACCAACTTTGTAAATGAATGCAATTTAGTCCATTTTTATATTAAGTTTAGCTTTACACTATACAATTATTTCAGTTTGATCCTTGCGTGTTGTTTAGTTTATTAAATTTCAGTTTGTAATTTCATGTTTGTTCAATTTAGTCTTTAAAATTATACTTTTATTTGAAATTGGACCGTAATTATATATACTTTTTGTAATTTACTCCAAATCCTAGACGTTTGTGAAAGGCGGAAAATAATTCACCCGAAAATGACCCGACTTGAATTTTATCTGTCAATAATGTAATCTGATCTGAACGGGAATTGACCTGAAGTCCATCCGAACATGAGTTAACATGATATTTAATTGTTTCGAATATGAACCATTTTGATCTAAACTGATATTGGTTCGACCTTAAATAACCCGACCCAAATTCGAATTGAATCTTATATAAAATCAACCTGAAAATGACCCGAACCTAAGTCAACCTACACCTGACCTGATCCAAGTCGAACCATTGAATTGATCTGACATAACTCATATCTAACTTGACCTGACCTGATATGGTTCGACCTGAAACTTGAACGATTACATGATTTTACATCCCTAATTCTTATAATCATCACCAGTCATTTAAAAAAACTAAAAATCATATAGAAAATAATAATTTCGAAATAAAAGTGTCAAAATTTATATTATTTATGGTAAAATTATATATTTTGCAAAATATTTTTACATTTTTATTGGAAGTACTATTAAGATAATATTGCACAAAGTTATATAAGAATTTACTTTTTATATATTATTATTTATGTAATAAATATATATATTTTGCACTAATTTAACTATGCGTTATCACTTTATTGATCAACAAAATAAAATATAATTTTTGATGAAAAAAGAATTGAACATGAGAACCTTTTTAAACGGTCCAGGACATGACCGCTAAACAAACTTACAAATATACTTTATGTTTCACAAAAATAATATTGAAATAAAACCAATACTTAGATATTATATTATATTATATTATATTATATTATATTATATTATATTATATTATATTATATTATATTATATTATATTATATTATATTATATTATATTATATTATATTATATTATATTATATTATATTATATTATATTATATTATATTATATTATATTATATTATATTATATTATATTATATTATATTATATTAGATTAGATTAGATTATATTATATTATATTATATTATATTATATTATATTATATTATATTATATTATATTATATTATATTATAAGAATTTGTTATAGTTGTGTCATAATCTTATCATGCACCTTCCAGAGCAATATTTTGGGCCAAGGATCCTTGGTCACGAGAACCACCTCAGTTATAGCAACGGTTTAAGAATAATTTTATTTTTTTAGTTGTTTCCAAATGACTAATGTTAGCTATTCCTTTTAATTGCATTGATTTATCCCTCAAATTTTATAAATTTTATCAATATTATCCTTTAATCAATAAAAATTATTGTTAATCATTGTAGTATTGATGTGAGAGTTAATTATACTGATGTGATAATTCATTATATTTACGTAGTAGTCCACAACACTGATGTAAAATTTTTCGTGTGAATGATAACGTAACAGATGAACTTAATTGATTTCTTATCTAGTTCGATCCATAATTTTTTAATTATTTAATATTTAACAAAGAAATCAAGTAATTTTAAAATAGAAAAATATTAAAATATCCAAAAATTAAAAACATTTCTTAATTGTTTAGTTTCTTAATTGTTTTGCTTAAAGATTAAAGGGTAAACTATATATTGGGTCACTTTTGTTTGAGTTTTATAAACTTATGATTACTGGATTAAAAAAAACATAAGTTATGATCACTTACGTTATCGTTTTATTAAGATTTGGTCACTGAGACGTTAGATGCCATGAGTTGAATGACGTGGCACGTTAGTAAAAAGGTTTAATTTTTAATCCTTGAAATTTAGATAAATTATTAATCACGAGTTTTTTGTAAACCCAAAATAATTCAAGGATAAAATATCAATTTACCCTTTTTTTCCATATATTTTCTTCCCCAGATGTCACGAGATCCCTTGTTGATGCCTCCACGGGTTATGTGGAAGATTCTATTGAATACGGCTGGGTGACCGTAATGGAAACGAACCCTAAAACACACCAATAAACATTCTTTTGCTAACCAACATGGACATTACTTGTACAATACAATTTATAAGAAAACCCAGCTGATAAACTTGTAAGAGATCAGAACATACTTCAGTGGTCTAGCAAGAACTCTTTGACCAATGGTGACGAAGCTCGTTTCTTTATTCGACATGAACCAAGCCAAAGACGAGACACTGCAACATGGAGATTTCAAGGCATAAGATAAAGCCACCAGATGTTCAGTCGGTCCTTCCTGCAAAGATATGCTCACGAACTCCTAATATTGTAGGTGGTCTTACTCCATGATCCTCGTTAAATTCTTTCAAAAGATTACGCATTTTGAATGCTTCTTCCAAGTAATTATTCTGGAAAAGAATTGCAGCGAGATGTCATCGCATTCACTTAAAAAAATCATTACCACTTGGATGATTATAAAACTTTTTGGCCTCGCCTGATTCATATCAATGG